AGGGTTCCCGTTTCTCCACATCCTCTCCAGCATCTATAGTCTCCTGATTTGTTCATTTTGGCCACTCTGACTGGTGTGAAGTGATATCTGAGTGTGGTTTTGATTTGTATTTCCCTGATGATCCCTCCTTCTCTTTTACATGTGACAGCTTCTGCTGGATATGGTTGGATCCACTGACCAGGACCTCCAGGAAGCCGCAGCTGGTTGTATATCCAACATCCGCAGACTGGCTCTTGCTACAGAAAAGGCAAGATACATTTGAAATGTGAACAAACATTATAAGCTACCAAATTTTACATGACAGAGAACATAGCAGTCCCATGGCCAGGAAGCCTAGAACATTTATTAGCAAATCCTTTACAAACAGATAAATGTCTGGATGAAAAGACAGGAATTAAAAATAGCAAAGGGTGCTCTGCATCCAAAAACTGCATAGATATTTTTGTTCTATTTAACATTTTAGGGATATGCCATGTAATGAAATGTAAAGCCAATAAGTTTGTGATAATTTTCCAGGAATTGGAGAATATACGTATACGGTACATAAACCTATTTCAGTGAGATTTTTGTATTTGGGATGATTTTAATAAAAGGTATGGCCTTCCTGGTGTGCACTTTCACAGTCATTCCTGCATGTCTTTAGAATTCCCTTTCTGTTAAACCTATCTCACTGCCCCGTCATTATGGTGTTGTCTGTTTGATCACTTGCAACCCACGCGAGAGCTCTAGGGAGACGTGGTGATTTCACGAACTGTTATTAAACAGAATTTAGATTTGAGCAGCAGGACCTGAGAGAGCATCCTGAGGTCACTCCAGATTTCTCCTAAATACGATCAAACATCGGAGATCATGTGTAACTGTCACCATACCAGATAATGCAAATCACAGAAACATAAGCAATGAGCAGGATTTTTACTTTGGGGCTTACAAAGCATAAACAATTATACGTTTTATTTCCCTCATAGGACTGACCAACACTTTTATTGAAGAATTAATTTACGCTGCTGTAAGGATACTGTTACTTCACATAAATAGCTTGAAATTTCTGAACTCATTTGTAGCACACGAAGTACTTTTTTAAAAGGTGGCCACAAAAGATTAATAGCATTTTATCAGGTTGTGGAAACATGAGAGGTCACTTAAAAGAATCGCATAAGTAACCTTGGTGTGCTGAAATGTTTGGGAACTAACTGTCCCAAGCATCTCATACTAGCCAGGAAAATAGCTTTGTATGCACCAGCTCCATAAACCGGCAATGTCAGTTAATTCTTTGAAGAGCAGGCTAGGCTGTTTTATTAAAAAAGTATTAAGTACTATCTATGTTCATCATAATTGGGAGAAGATCATAAACCTAATTGAATTAAATGCAAATAACCTGTATGAAATGAAAAGCCTGTACAGGATGAAAAATTATACTAGTGATAGATTCTCTGGTAAAAAGAAGTTTCTGAGAATTTTGAGGTTTTTAAAACACCAGCTCATCTTCCCTGTTTTTCAGAGGAGGTTATAAAAGAAGATAATAGGAACAAGGCAATGCTATTAATGATGCCAACTAAGAACTGAATTTAAATAAGAGTGTAAATTCTTCAACTATCAACACGCTTCTAATGTTAAAGTTGCCATTGGGCTGTGCTTCACAAACATTCAAAATACCTCTAGAAATCATGGATTATGACAGCTATAGAAAACAAATAACATTATTCCATTTTTACTAAAGGAAGCTTTCACCACTGCCTTAGAATTTCAAGTTATTCTTGGATTTAGTGGGTCCTAGGAGTGAAGGGAAGTACCAGGTAAACAATTGCAACACAAAAAATGTTGGATGAGTGATGGTAAAGAAGGATTGTTCCTTTATGCTATGCTTGATAGAAGAAAGCTGGAGGTTTTCATGTTTTATGGTTAATAAATACATAAAAGAAAAGCAACAGTGCCATTTTAAAAAATGAAGAAGCTAAGCATTTTTAAAGAAGCTAAGCACTTGGAAACAGTTAAAGGAAATTAACATGAAAATCATCTTGTATGTTCCTAAGAATTTTTTTAAATTCTTAAACTCCCGAAAGTTGGTATCCTTGGGTACTACAAATGAGAAGCTGAATTTAAGGGTCAGTTTTTGACTCTGTGTGTGTATGCGTGTGTATGAAATGTCATAACAGAAAACTCTGATCTTACTAGGAAAATGTCAAAGAGAATGAAAGTGCTCACAGCTATCAGAGAACAAACATGGGGACAGTCACACCATTTCTTTGCCACTACATGCTGCAATGGCACTCGTGGTTTGTTTTTTTTTTTTTCATTAGTTTTTGGTAAGTGTTTTTTGTGTTGTATTTATTTTCTGCTATTTAAAGCTGGCAACATTAATTCCTTATAAGTTTTCAGCAACAGTTCTTTTTTTTTTTCTTTTTCTTTTTTTCTTTTTCTTTTTTTTTTTTTTTTTTTAGGTTTTATTCTTTCCCAGGACATCCTGGGAATCCAATATACTCTTGGTGATAGCCAGCTGTTTCTGTTTGAAAGGAGTTTAAGGTGGAAGGAATTTTAAGTAGATACTCTTTGATCTCCCACTGTCTATGGTTTGCAGGGCTTCCTTCTAGAAATCCCTGCCATGATCAGTCTGCTGTCCCTAGTGAATGCTCTTTCGCTACTCTCAGGATCACTTGCATTAGAAATAACTTGTTTCTTTTTCAAACTTTCCTAGGTTCTGACAGTTAACAGAAGGTTGGTTTTCTTAGGGGGTGGCACTGTAAATCCTGTTACTTTGATACTCTCTAAGGCATTTGCATGGAATTGAGACACTAGATCCAAAATACTCAGAAAGTTTATTTCCATTTAGGAAAATGAGAATCTCAGTTGTTGATAAGCAGACAACTGAGATGGTTGAATAAATCTCTTCTTTTTCTTTTACCTAATGGGATTAGGTTTAAAAGATCATTTCACAGTCCAAGTTAACTCAAGATGTTTAATCTCATCCCACAGAAGACTTGGGAATGAAATAGGCTATGTTTATTCCTATAATTCAGTGAAAACAATAAGGAAACCCACTTAAGAACCTCCCTGCCTCATATGCACTAAATGCCCCCCAAAAAACCACTTTCTCATGTACTCAAATGTAGAAAGTAGAATTCTGTCCCTCAGTGAGACTGGAGCAGAAAGAGAACCAAATCGTACATAATACTAATATGTCAAGGACTGTATTAAGTACTTCCTACTTGTGATCTCATTTAAAATACAGAAGAGGGGCACCTGGGAGGCTCAGTCGGTTAAATGTCTGACTCAATCCCAGCTCAGGTCTTTTTTTTTTTTTAATTTTTTTTTTTTAATGTTTATTTATTTTTGAGACAGAGAGAGACAGAGCATGAACGGGGGAGGGGCAGAGAGAGAGGGAGACACAGAATCTGAAGCAGGCTCCAGGCTCTGAGCCGTCGGCCCAGAGCCCGACACGGGGCTCGAACTCACAGACCACGAGATCGGGACCTGAGTTGAAGTCAGACGCTTAACCAACTGAGCCACCCAGACGCCCCAAGTGATACAGCTCAGGTCTTAATCTCAGAGTCGTGAGTTCAAGCCCCTACACTGGGCTCTGTTCTGGGTATGAAGCCTACTTAAAAAAATACAATACGATATGATACAATAAGTACAGATTGTACTGATAATCTCAGATAATCTTGTATCATACTAGGGTCTATCTAAATGGGCACAATCATACTGCCAGGGAAATTTGGCAATGCACACCAAAAGCATCGTAACTTTGTGTGCCTTTGGGATTGTGCCCAACAGTTATTCTACAAGAGTATTCACCACATCATTGTTCTTAATGGTACAAATGTTAGGAAAAACTTTGGTTAATTCAATGATGGTCTAGCAATACAATGAAAACATGTTATAGAATGCTAGTTAATGACATAGAAAGCCTTTTGTAAAATATTGTTAAATTGGAAAGCAGGTTCTGAAGCAGTATATACAGTGTGAGCACACTTTTAGAAAATTATATACATGCAGCTAGTCACAACGGAAGAAGACACAACTTAAATACACCAAACTGTGATAAAACAAATGATTATATCTGAATGGTGCAATACGAATGATTTTTGTTTTCTCTTTGCTCATTTGTGTTTTCTAATCTGTTCATGATGAACATGAATGACTTTTTTTCCCTAAAGACACTCCCAATGAATTTTACTTTTTTGTTATTTGGAAACTTCTAAGGCAGACATTCTTCCTAATACTAACTTTAAAAGAGAGGTCCTCAGTTAACAAATGGTATACACAATCCATAGATAAAATAAATGAGCAGGATTGTTGTTGTTGTTTTGACAAAAAAAGAATTGTAGCTTCAACATCTAAACCACTATTGAGATATTTATAATCTCCAAAATGAACATTTGCAATAGCTTTCAACTATACCTAATCAACAGTACAGTATAACTGATACATGCTGGGGTGGCCCGTAGTAAGTTATGAACATTTTGTTATTTGGTTTCTGTAAACTAAGCAAATGAATTCTAGTCCCAAGCACATAGGAAGACAACAAATGAAGTAACTCAAAAGGTCATTGATAGATTGCTTCATAAAATGTTGCTGTTTTGAAAAGAATTATTTTGACCCATTCAGTTGTCTACTTCATTATAGATACCTAAGATGAACAATACTGTGATTTACTAATATATTTTGCCTGAATAAATCTAATAGAAACACAGTCCCAACAAAATTGTGCCCACCAATAAGTAAATACAGTAGACTATCATAGACTTCTGGTCTTCCCTTTTGTGCGCTATTCTTTTATGCTCAAATTTTAGATTAAATTTTCTTGCCTTTCAGTAATTGGTTTCCTTTTCTCTCTCCACTCAAATCTCTGTGTCTCCAGTTTCTGTTTCTGCTTTCTCTGACAAATGGTTATTACATATTCTGCCTCTTAAAATGGTTTATGCTTTAATTTCTATAAATGCAAAATGTAAAGTTAGTATTTCAATGGTTTCGATGCACAACTGTCATGGCTGACTTGAAATCATGTAACATATGGAATCCTTATACTCCCAACCCATTATTTTCAAGTTTTCAAGTAAAAGTAATTTATTCTTTATTTGCATCTGTCAAGACCAAAGGGAGATTTTCTTCTGCCAGTTCATGCCACCCTGATTTATTAGTTGATAAAAAGTCATCCTTTGCAAATTACATAATTGGCTCATGATGTTCAGAGTTAAGATTTGTCATTATTTTAGATTTATGTCCCAATTTATTTTAATGATTGAAAGGTATATTAGTGATATCAGTATGGTTCATAGAAGCTTGAAGAATCTATAGCTGGTTGGGTTACTTACAGAGAATGACCATATATCAAAAATGAAGTTCAGAGAGAGTGTGGGTAGTTAAATGGAAATCCTTTTGCATTACTGGAAAGAAAACTGACCTTTGTCAGTAGATATGTTACATTAGTGATTATAAAGCTAAGTGTTCACAAGGGCTAGGCAAGTAACATAAATGAGCAGAATGAGCTAGATATGTTGTTGTTTTTAAAATAATATTGGCATGAGGTGGGTGAGTGAATGGGGGAAATAGGTGATGGGATTAAGGAGTGCACTTGTCATGATGAGCACCAGGTAATGTATGGAAGTGTTGGATC